TTCACAGAGCAATGAGCGATTTTTAAATCGACCCGCCCTAGTGTACATATATGCATACAAAGATACGTAATAGCTCCAGTGCGTTTGAAAGGCACCACGCCCCCTTTTAAAATAGCCCAAATTTTCTCTAAGAGTATGGGATTGATTTCATATATCTCCATACCATGTTCAAGTACTCTACCATGAACACTTCTACAGGTATACAGTATGAAAAATTCGGTTTGTATGGGAGGTTCAACGCCCCCTGCACCTAGCGGTATGAAATATACTTTACATCCGATTCTCATAACTACTATATATGCCCAAAAAATTTCATAAAGAGCGGTACAGCCCTTTAGGAGGAGTTCGACCACAAACACCGTTTAATTTCTATTTATTTTTCTGCCTTTCTTTTGGGGAATTTAGCTCTTTTCTAGCGGGTTTTTATAAAAATCTGGGTTTTTACTCGAAAATATGTAGTTGGCCGCACTAGCTCTATTACACTTCTTAAAATATTGGTTAATTTTGAAGTAAAACGTAAAATTTTTTCTTATTTGTGTTAAAAAAAATTCAAAAAATTTAACAGTTTCCTTAAATAGGGCTCACATTAAGTTTTTACTAGGTATTAAATGAAAAAAATTTTATCACTATGTTGGGCATTAAACAATACCCTTGTCATCGTATTTTTTCCAAATTTCATTTTTAAAATGGCATTTAATTTCTGTCACTTCGTTGTCTAGCCGAAATTCGGTTTAAGAATTTATGAAGTTTCTGTTGAGTGATCATATCATTGTAAAGCAAAACTTTATCTCACACTTTCAAATAACTCTAGATATTGAAACCGTTATGAACAATGTATGTATGTAACAGAGCTGTGTAATTTTTGATTACGATTACATTTTAATTAATTTTCTTAATTATAATCCTTAAATTATATAAGATTACGATTACTTTAATTGTAATCATAAATGTTACCACTACGATTATAATAATTGTAATCTTCAAAATTTAAGGACTAAGATTACTGTAATTGTAATCATGAAATCCATTTCTTAGGGAAAACCACACAGGCCTGTGTTCTTTTTAATTAGCACCCCTATTCTGCAGTGATTTCGTATTCGGAATTTGCTACGAATCATATTTTTGAACTTTCGAAATGCGTAACAATGGCATGCCTAAAAATGAACGAGTAAGTTTTTTTCAGGTTTTTTTATGTAATTTGTACGAAAACACTTCAGTGTCGGAAGCGAGATAAATGATGTAACTCGATGTGTGTTTGCATGAAATATTAGTGGTGTTCTTTTAAACAGATAAATTTACCTTTTCCCATAAATGTAACTATGTACATTAGGGTCGTCTAAAAACAGTAAAGTCGGAATTGTAATGCTCTCACCCCCTATGATTGTTCTGTATCGAGAAAAAGTATACCCCTAGTTTTTTATTTTGAAATCAAAAAATATTTAGAGATCGCTCAAAGCGCTCAAAGTTTTTCATGTATTTTTATATGGGAAAAATAAAATCTTTCAAAGAAATGGTATAGAATTCTAGAAAATTAATATTTTTCGATCGGAAAACTCTGGTTCTCTTCAGGAGGCTTTCAGTAATAATACCCAATTGGTTATTTAACCATTTTTTAATACTAACGATTTTTTAATGGACGCCCCATTGCATTTTTCGGGTTTTTTGTGGGTATTTGGCGGACCTATAAATTATAGTTGCGATGGAAAAATGGTTAAATAAAAAATGGGGTATTATTATTGGGAATTTTCTACAGATAAGCAGAGTTTTCTGGTTGAAAAATATTGATTTTTAACTATTCTATACCATTTCTACGAAAAGTTGTTTTCGTTGCTCTTCTATAAAATTGGCAGTTTTCCAATGCGACGATGGGCGGTTTTGCAAAAACATCGACGATATACTTTTATCCACTGCTTTATATAAATGAACAAAAAAGAGTGTGTGTTGCCCCTCATCGAGAAACTTGGGTCCGGTTTAGTTATTTGCCCAATATTTTTCCGTTGTTGTGTCCAAACACATGGCCCGAATCTAAAAACTTGTACATACACGTGTAGTCAAAGGATTAAAATTGAAATTAACACAAAGGTTTCAAATTTCCGAGCACTACCATTGCACCATTCACTTCTTTGTAAATTTCAATGTGGGCTCTGCGCAAAAATACTGTCGATGGCGTAGCCGGAGTTGTGCACAGAAAGAAAAATTCTACTTGTAAGGGTTATAATTCCTAACCGCGGCCGAAGGCAGAAGCAAGCGTTGCAGGTGGTGGTTTTTTAAATGGCTTGGAAGAAGCTGTTATTGAATTAACTGGATTGAGAGTTATGGCTTTTGGTTCAAAATTTAACCTGAAGCTGACATATGTAGATGCGGCCATGGTTACCATGCCCGGCAGCTTCGCATATCTTTGTGAATTCCTTTCCATAGCGCGCTCTTACTCCGCTGCTATAATTGCTAATGAAATAGAATCCATCGTTTCCTTCAAAATATGTAAAATTATAAAATTTTAGTATAAATAAGCAATTGATCAGTGTTAATTCCTTTCCACTTTGTTTTCCTTCATACAGCTGTCTTCGAAAAACAACTGATAGCTGGCAATGCTGCACAGGTTTCCGCAAGGGTTGCAGCATGTCGATTTTTCGTTTTCGTAACGTAGCTACGAATTACGAATTATGAAAATTCGGGTTCTAGAATAAGGGTGTATGTAATTGGATGTGAAATAACGCGCCTTATAAAATTTTTTAAGCGGATTTGCGCTTCAATGCAACGGACATACCTCTTTTAAGCCTATTTACAAAATCTTTTATCCAGATAAAATATCCCCATACATAAATATTACCACTGATAAAACTTATACATATCTGGCAAACAAAATTACATACGGTAGGCAATAATTTTCGCCTGCGGAGGCGCATCGTTAGCTGATATTTCGGTGTTGTAAAGGGTAATATATCATTGATTAAGGCTAAAAGCTTACATCATTTAAATGAAAGTTGAACAATGCAAACGCCTTTTAAATACAATGATTGTGTACGATTAGAAAATAATAATATTCTGAAAGAATTTTTTATACCCGAGCGCACTTGTGCACAAGGGTATTATAACTTTGTTCACATAACGGTTGTTTGTAACAGGCAAAACGAATCGAGATAGATATAGACAAATGTATACATAAATGATCAGAATGAAAAGAGAAATCGATTAAGCGGAGACTGTCTGTCCGTCCGTCCGTCCGTCCGTCCGTCCGTCTGTGCGCACGATAACTCGAGTAAAAATTGAGATATCTTAACGAAACTTGCTGCGTGGACTTCTTTTGGGCGTAGGACGGATGGTATTGAAAATGGGCGAAATCGAACAATAACCACGCCTACCTCCCATATAACGGTAATTTTCAGAAATACGAAAAGTGCGATATTTTAGCAACTACTAAAGATAATTCACTCAAAATTGATATTTACAATGAGTTTTAGACGAAAAATAAGAATATTAAAACATTTTGAAAAATAGGCGTAGCCACGCCCACTTATGGTCACATGTGTATATCTTGGTAACCGCTTCACCAATTTNTAGCCACGCCCACTTATGGTCACATGTGTATATCTTGGTAACCGCTGCACCAATTTCTTCCAAACTTTGCACGGTTGTTGGTCTTGGTACAGCATACCAAATGGCCGAAAATCGGACAATAACCACGCCTACATCCCATATAACGGTAATTTAAAAAATACGAAATCCTCGATAAATCAGTAAATATTAAAGCTAATTGTTTCAAAATTGATGGTTGTAACAATTCTTAACAAAGAAATATGTTTGTGATAAAATTTTGGAAAATGGGCGTGGCACCGCCCACTTATGATCACATATATGTATCTCGGTAACCGTTCTACCAATTTGTACCAAACTCGGTACGGTTATTGTGCTTGCCACATAAAAGCAAACCGTTTAAAATTGTTGAAATCGGACTAAAATTACTCCCGCTTTTCATATAACGGTAAATTTCAGAAATGCTTGAAATTTCAATATTTCGAAATTTGAGGACGCTAATTTACTTAAAATTTATACACCCCGGCTTATCATGTAGCGGTAGCTTTCGGAAAGGTGGAAAACATATATCTAATACTTGCGCCGGGTATTTAATGTTCGGCTCCGCCCGAACTTAGACTTTCTTACTTGTTTTTTTTTTTTAATTTCATCACTGCCATAAAACTTGAAAAGGAGGACAAGGAGGACATTTCTGCTCAAAAGGAGGACAGAGAAGGACAACATTTTTGAGGAGGGCAATCCTCCTCAAAGGAGGACGTTTAGCCAGCTTAATTATAAGGCAATTCGTACTAGAACACGTTACCACTGAAAGCGATTACCGATTTTTTTCTGGGAGCGGTCGCCCCTCGGCAGGCAAGCAATGGCAAACGTCTCCGAGAGTATTTCTGCCATGAACAGCTTCTCATAAAAATATAATCGCCGCACACTGCGCTCTTTGAACACTCCATGCGATTTAATCGTAGCGCTTTCGACAGAAGAAACATTTTGATATGATACAAAATATTTTTGAAAGCAAAATATACCAAAAAATGTTTTTTTTTGGAGCAAATGCGGTGGTTTTTTCATGTTTTTTTATCCAAGAACACTATTTTCGACCAATTTTATTAATGTCAAGGAGCAATTGTGGCTCAATGCCAATATTTTTCCGTGAAAGGTAATTATATTAGCTTTCAAAACTATTTCGTTTCATATCAAAATGTTGTTTCTGTTGAAAGCACTGCGGTTAATTCGTAAGGAGAGTTTAAAAGGGACACTGTGCGAGAAAATAAAGTTTCTAGGTAGGCCTTTTTTGACATTTAGTTTTCTAAAGGGATCACCTAAGAAGCGAAAACAATTCACTATATCCTAAGTCCTCTCTTTATATTCATTTGTGGTGTGACCTTCTCCCAAGCACAGCATTATTGTAATTGTAATAATTGAAACACGCGTTCTTTTGTGTGAAATTCAATGTTAAAATATATATAGCTTTATTGAGTGTATAGAAGCGTAAGTAAAGGGTACCGACAAGGCGGCGGAGAATGAACGACTGAAAACTAAAAGCATAGCGACGGTGCATTGAAGTTAACTAAATAAGTATGTACATAGAAAGCATTTCATGTATGTAACGGGTGATTTTTTAAGAGCTTGATAACTTTTTTTAAAAAAAAAACGCATAAAATTTGCAAAATCTCATCGGTTCTTTATTTGAAACGTTAGATTGGTCCATGACATTTACTTTTTGAAGATAATTTCATTTAAATGTTGACCGCGGCTGCGTCTTAGGTGGTCCATTCGGAAA